TTCCGTCGCCGGGAGCCGTTTGCCGGAAGCCCGCGGGGTGCGGGTGCGGGCGCGGGGAGGGGGTTGCGCCCTCGCCGAGCGCCGTCCTCCCCGCGCGCAGACTCCAGGGCTCCCTCCTCCACCCCCACCCCCGTCGTCCTTTGCAGCCCCATGTCATTGGGAAGTCCCTCCCGAGGTCTAACCTCAATCCGTATTGCTGCCTTTTTTTTTTTTTAAGTTTCTACTTGAGAAAGCTTGTGAATTACCTTCGGGGGATGTGAAAAGGGAACCCTTTTAGTGCCCTTCCGAGAACTGTCAGCTTTCAGGATCTTAGAAGGCCTCAGGACTTTCAGGAATCTCTGGTCACTTGGTTCTAATTTTAGGAAAACAGCTGTCGGGTAGTGGTTAGACGTGGGGGCTGGGGCCGAAGTCAAACTCTCCCTCAATTCGCAGTCATAATTTACTAGCCCGTTTACATTGGGTTAATTGCTTAACCCTATTTGTGCTCCCCCCCCCACACTTAATTTATGCATACAAGAGCTGGGGTGTGGGCCAGAGGGAAGGGGATCAGCTCCCTGGCTCACCGGGAGGCCCCTTTTTTCACTTCTAAGGAAGGTTGTAATGGAGACGTCACAGTAAATGTTGCAAGGATTACATAAAATAATGCATTTACCGGACTTAGGACAGCCCTGGGCACGTGGTAAGAACTTCCCGGTCTTTGCATCTGAGGCCTCAGTGGCCCAGGGTCCTGCTCCAGTTCACGGAGCTAATTATCAGAGAGCCTTGACTGGAACCGGTGTGCATGCCCCCAGGCTGCTGTTATGTGACTGCCCTGCTGCCCACACATCTGTCTGGGCCTTGCCTGAGCCTGGACTTGACTTAGTTGAGGTGATTTTTGTGGAGGAGGATACTCACATGTTCCCTGTTTGGACCCTGGACCCTGGAAGTGTGTGGACTGTGAGGGTATCAGTCTGTCCATCCTGTGATTCCCTTAAAAATTTTTATTTATTTATGCATACAAGAACTGGGGTACAGGCCAGAGGTGCCAGAGGTGGGGATTGATACAGAGTGGGGAGCAGAACAGGCATCGGACAAAGTACACTGCTGAGCGGAGCCGTGGGCGGGTCAGGAGCGGTCCCCTGTGAGGTCCCCTTTCCCTTCCTGGCCAGTCACCCCCCTGGTCAGGGATCAAACTATTGAAGTGGCTTCGGCCAGCTTTGCAGTGCTGTGCTTTAACCGGTTGCCCCACCAGGGAGGGGCCAGGGGCATTGAGCTCCTGCTGCAGTGGCTGTGGATAGCTGCATAGTGCTGAGACTTAACCCCTTGCACCATCAAGGAGGGCCCTGTCCTATGATTCTTTCCAGTCTTGTCTGAATCTCTAAGAACTTCACTCAAGCCTTGGGTCTCCGAGAGTGGGGGGACAGCCTGCCGTCATTCATATTCTGTCCCCAGGACCAGCACAGCTCCCTGGCCGCCCCCTCCCCAAGCAGACAAATAGCTCGTGAATAATTAATATGTCATTCTCCACTTTTCTTCCTAAGATTTTGGGTGCATATCCTTGGGTCCAGCCTCCCCATCCTGATCTGGAGGGGGTGGTCTTTTGACACCGAGCGGGGCTGACAGCTTCTGTGCTCAGCAGGGAAGCCAGAAAGGAAATGCAGAGAACGAGCGTCACCTGGTGGCCACAGGTGATGCAGGCTTAGGGCGTCCAGGAGGGTGGTTGCTGTTGGTCCAGCTGGAGGAAGGGAATGGTCAGGCCTCTCCTCAGCCTGGCCCCTGAACCCTCTTAACCACTTTCTGCGTTCTGTTCCCATAATCCAAAATGACAAGAAGTGCCTGTTCTGGAGGAATTGAGTGCCCAGGTGCCACAGTGACCCCAGCAGCTGGGCCCTGCTGCCTGTAGCTTCCTCTGCTAAGCTCAGTCCCTTTCCACAGAGCGAGGAGTCCTCCTTCATGACTGTTCTCTTTGGAAAGGGCAAGGGCGTACTTGAGTGGCTATGAGAGCTGATCACAAAGCTTTTGAGCTGAGTGACCCTGTTTTGGGGGTGGGAGGCTCCGGCAGCAGTGTAGGGGCCATCTCAGGCAGAAAGGCGGGCTAATTCCCTTACGCCAACTCACAGGTTTCCTACGGGACAGCTCTCGCCGAAGGCTGCGTCCCTGGCCCGCTATTTCCTGCCCCTGCTCTGCCCCGGTTCCCGCTCCCAATCAACCCTGCCCTATTTCCTTTTTTAAAGATTTGTTTCTCTATGCATATAAGAACTGGGGTACAGGCCAGAGGTGCAGGGGTGAGAGGACTCAGCAGAGGCAGAGCGGGGAGCAGAACAGGCAGATCGACTGAAACGCACAGCTGTGGGAGCAGCGGGGAGACACGAGGGGCCTGCTGCGCCCCGTGGGTCACTCCCTGGCCAGGGGTCATACTCGTGTCACAGTGGCTGCGGACAGCTTGAATGCGCTGAGACTTCAGCCCCTTGCGCCACCAGGTAGGCCTCCTACTTCCTTCTTTCCCAACAGCCCACACCTGAGCATCCAAAGGGCAGAATTCATTTATTAATAGTGAGCACTCTGGCCACCTAGGCCAAACCAAGGAAGGGAACGCAAGGCCGGTGGGGGGTTGGGAGCACGGGGGCGGGGTTGTCTTCAAGACGTCCACAGGGCTCACTGTCACCTACTGCCTTGTCAGCTGGCCACGTTACTTCTGGCGAAGACGGTCCTGGGTGCTGCGGACTGGGAGGCAGCCGGTTCTAGGGGAGCCTACGGAAACTCTGGGGCCCCCGCTGGAGGACGGAGCCATAGGCTTGGCGGAACTGGCGGTTCATGGCTGCATAGAGCACAGGGTTGATGCAACTGTTGAGCCAGGTGAAGTTGGCAGCGAGCATGTGCAGAACCCGGGGAGCCCGGACCATGGCATCCAGGATGTTGAGCAGCAAGAAAGGGATGTAGCTCAGGGCGAAGCAGAGAAACACGGCGAAGCACATCCGCGTCACCTTCCCGAACTCCGACGGAGAGTCCTGAGCTCTGTGGCCTGCTTTAGCTGGCTGGGGGTGAGCGCCTGCTTCCTGGGGGCCTTTCTCTGCCAGCGGCTTAGCCACTTTGCTGCTGCTCTGCTCCCCACTGCTGCTGATTCCTCCCTCTTCCAGAGTGTGCGTGGTGGCGGCACTGACCGGTTCAGACGAAATCCCCTCACTGGGCACTCCCGATGCCAGCCCGCTGTCCAGCTCCTCGGGGTGACCATGTTTGGCCTCATCGGTCCCAGCCACGTGGCTGGGGCGCACGCTTGCCTGGTGCAGCTTGTACTGGTCCAGAGCCCGCGCCGCCCGCCTCACCTGCCGATGTATGAGGCAGTAGAAGATGCCCACGCTGCTGAGCCCAAGGACAAAGTAGATGCCCATGAGGATGGTGGTGTAGGGCCGGCCTTGGATGCGGTCGAAGCTGCACGTGCAGACGACAGGTACTAAGGTATAGACAGGCCAGAGCGGGGCAAAGCTGGCCACCCCTATCACCCAGGTGCCCCCCAGCGCCAGCGCTATCCCGCGGGCACTGAACACTCGCGGAAAGAGATTTGGGTGGGCGATGAGGAGATAGCGGCCCAGGGCAATGAGGCAGAGGGTGAGGATGGAGACGGCGTTGGAGGTGAAGAGGAGGAACCCGAAGAGCCTGCAGAAGGTGGCACCTGTGCGCCAGTGCAGGTGCAGGTAGGTGTCCACCGAGAAGGGCTGCAGAAGGGTGCAGTAGAGCAGGTCGGCCACCGTCAGGTTGGCGATGAGCAGGTTGAAGCGGGTCCGGAGCTTGGGCTGGATGGCCAGGGCCAGCAGGGTGAGCACGTTGCCCACAGTGCCCGCCACAGCCACCAGCACCCCCCAGCTGACAGCAACGTAGCGGTAGCCCAGCACAGACTCATGGTAGCAGGAGAAGCTGGCGTTGGAGATGTTCCACATGACGGAGGCTGGAGAGAAGGGGGTGGGGAAGAGGTCAGGTCTGGCCTGGAGCGGAAATCCCTTGACCAGCTCTGGCCTCCTGGGCACTCTCTGCTCCAGGCGCTCACCAGTCTCCTGAGTCGTTCCTGGGCAACTTCATCTCAAGGTCCCCAGTCTCAAAGTCCTTCCCAGATTCTCACCTAAGCGCCTCTTAATGACCCTCCCTGGTGGCGCAACGGGTTAAATAGAGCACAGCACTGTGCGGTTATCTGCAGCCACTGCAGCGCCAGTCCGATGGCCCCCGGCCAGGAAGCTGACCCACACGGTGGGCAATGACCCCTCCTGTCCCCTCAGCAGTGTACTTTGTCAATCTGTCTGTTCTCCCCTTTCTGTCTCTGGTGAATCCTCTCACACACACACCCCCCCCACCACAGGCCTGTACCCCAGTTCTCGTATGCATCAATAAAGAAACCTTGAAACAATAAATATCTTTCAGTGTCATTCTCTGCAAACTGCTGCTCTCCGTTACCCGCCCAGCTCCTCTCAGGAAGCCCAGTGCTGTCCATCCTCTCTGATTCCTTCTCAGACCTGAGGCCTCCCCAGGGCCACCTGCTGTGGACTTAGCATGTGGTGACAGTCCCTTTGCCATACACATGCAGCTCTCAGTTCTTTTCTCCTTTTACCACCTGGGAGATGAGAAGACAGAAAGTCAAAGAGCGCCCGGCCCAAAACCACTCACCCATCTCCCAATTCAGCTCTCTGTTCTGTCCAGTCCACGGAAAGAACAGTCCTTCCAGGCACTCACGCTTCCAGCGGGAGGTCTGTCTCCTCCTCTAGCCCGAAGACAGAAAACTCCTGGGTTACCCAACTGCTGTCACTTCCTCCTCGCCTGCAACCACTCCTTTTGCTTTGGCTAGTGAAATTCGGACTTTCCTGTTGAAATTACGGCACGGCTTACCCCCAAAGTCATCTCATTTCTTCCTGAGGCCCAAGTCCTGTTTCCTTCCCCTACATGGGCTGGCCAAGCATTGTCAGGGGGTGCCGCAGAGCACCAGAATGGGGTACTTCTCCAGGGACCTAGGGGCAGGACTGGGTTCTAGGAGCAACTCTAGTTATCCCGGAAACCTTGGGTTTTTGGGGAGCAGATCTGAAAGGGTTCATGTGATACCCCAGCACAGAGGAAAGGAGCAGCAGAGTGTGGGATCCGAGCTCCCGTTCATGCACTCATCCACGCGCTCAGCACCTTGGTATAGAGGCCTCTGCACAGTTTGGGCTAGAAGCAATGGGTGGAGAAGCTGGATACCGTCTGGGTAGAGAAGAGGCAGAGGCTGTCAATATGCAAATGTTTAACTGCTTCTTTACAGTAAGTGCGGGCACGCTTTGGCCTGGGGTCCTGCATTCTTATTATCTTTTTTTTTTTTTTTTTGCATGGACTGTGATCCAAGAATGTTTTTTCCATTTTAGAATGGTTATTTTTAAAAAGATTTATTTTACTGGGGTGCAGGCCAGAGGTACAGGGACAGGTGTGTGTGTGTGCGAGAGAGGATTCACCAGAGACAGTGGGGAGCAAAACAGGCGGATCTATTGAAATGCACAGTGAGGGGGGCAGCGGGCTGGACAGGAGTGGTCTGCTGCGCCCTGGGGGTCACTCCCTGGCCAGGGACGAACTCAGGTCACAGTGGCTGGTGATTGATAGGGCTGAGACTTAACCCCTTGCCTCCACCAGGGAACGGTTGTTTTTTTAAAATGGTTACATAAGTACCCATATGAGATCCTCAATTTTGCCTCTGAGTCAGCAAAACCTAAAATATTTACTATCTAGACTTTTAAGAAAAATGTTGCTGCTGGGCCTTCCTGGGTGTAGTTGTTAATTCTCCAGGGCAGGATCGAACTCCTGCTGCAGTGGCTGTAGCTTCTTCGTGCTGTGCTTTAACCTGCTGCGCCCCGGGGAGGGCCCTCTTTAAAATTTTATTTTATTTTATAATAGTTTATATTTACATCATTTTGTGCCTTTTTCATCTCAGTTGTCATCTCCGTGGACCTCCCACCACCAGTTCACCTGTGTGCCATCACCATAGTCTGCATGGGGTTGCTTTTAATCAGACAGGAGTGTGGGAAGCTCAGCAGGCTTGGGGATGTGTAAACCCTATGGTTTAAAACATGTTTGCGGGCCTCCCTGGTGCTGCAGCAGGTTAAAGCGCAGCATTCTAAGCTGGCCGCAGCCGCTTCAGTGCGAGTTGGATCCCCTGCCCTGGAGGCGAGTTCAATCCCCAACCCTCAGCGGGCCCTCAGGTTTCTGGAACTGTCCTTTCTGCCTTTTCCGAGTTATACCCACTTGAAGAGAAACGCCCAAAGCTCCTCCTTGGGCTCTGTAAACCCACACCAACTTCAGATTGACCAACCCAGGAACCCCTGTTTCCTCTCCTTCCTCTTTAGCAGTCCTCATCCTGCTCCCCATTCCCCCTCCCCCCCAGTAGTGGGTAGAGAGGAGAATGAGCACAGAAGCTCCAAGGACCCTGTGCCCGCTGCTCTTCTCCGTCAGGGTTTTGTCTGAGTGTCTTGCAACCCAGCAGGGAGGGAGAGAGACCGGAGTGGGAGTCCCTGGCTGCTCTTGGGAGTGTGTGGCTGAACTGATTGGTGGAGCTAAGTGACCGCTTCCCCAGCCTGCGGGAGGCCGCTGGGCAGAGTGCCCTCCTGTGTGAGGGACACTCAGGGGACGTGATGAGCAGGCGGTTCTGTGCATCTGTGCACAGCGCCATGCTGCTTCTTTACCTTGGGGTCGGTGATGCCTCAAAGAACTTTTTTTTTTTAAGATTATTTATGTGTGCATACAGAACTGGGGTACAGGCCAGAGGTGGTGAGAGGTTTCAGTGGGGAGCAGAACAGGCAGATCAATGAAGAACACCGCTGGGGGGAGCTGGTGGGGGGAGCGGAGGGACAGGAGAGGTCTGCTGCACCTGCCTCACTGAGGTAACCGCTGCGAGCTTGCAGTGCTGAGCTTAACCCGTTGTGCCACCAGGGAGGACGCCCCTCAAAGAACTTCTCGGAGCCTCAAACCTGCTCATTTTGCAGTTGGGGAAACTCTGGAGCGACATCCTGGTCCTTGGCCCCGCTTCTCCCCACACCTCGCTTGTGGCTGTGGGTTTCCCAGCAGAGACCCCGAAGCCCGGATTCTCCCTTTGTCCGAGACTGGGTCCACGCGGTCCGCAGCGTCTGGACACGTCCGGCGCGCGAGCGGGTCAGCCTCGGAGAGACCCTTTTCCTTGTCGTTGGCGCCGCCTGGTGGGGCTGCAGCGAACTCTCCGCGCCTGGACTGGAGAGGGCTCCCGAGCGCCAAGTTCAACTCCGCGGGCGGAGTGGGGTGCGCGCTCCGCCCGTGCCTCCTCTTGCCCCTCCTGGCCCCGTCCACCTCCTCCAGCTGGCCCCCCGTCCTGGGCGTCGGCTCCTGTCACCGTGCAGACCCAGCGCCTACAGAACTGGTCCCCAAGCCGCGCGCAGAGACTGAGTCCGAGTCTGGGGGGCGGAGGGCAACGAATCCAGACTTTATTGTCGGGGAGAGGGAAAGGGGGAAGACATGGGTGGGGGCCGGGGTTGCTACATCGTCAAGCAGAGGTGTTGGGGAGGGCAGGGCAGCGAGGGCCCGTCCCCCCCCAGGGTCGGCGTGGTGAGGGCTGACGATACGAAACCACAGAGGTGGGGAGGTCACGCCCCGCCCGAGTTGTGCAGTGGAGGAGTCTGGGGGAGGGGACAGCCATGAGGTCCGGGGACTGGGAGGGGGTGACTACAGACTAGGCGACCTGCGGAGAGAGGCGGGCGGGGGCGAGGCTTCTATTGCTTTTTGCTCACAGTTTTGCGGAAGGCGAGGCGGGGGTGGGCTTGGACTGGACACCCCTTGCCCCCCTCGGTACCCCTTGGGCGATGGGTGCTGGTGAAAAGAATGGAAATCCGGACTGGGGAGGAAGGAAGGCGAGGAAAGGGTCGGCGGGCATCCACTTGGTCCCACCCAAGTGCCAGAGATGCCCCCAAGTGCTGCCCCCGGGACGGTCCGGCGGGACCTGCCTGGGGCGTGGTGCGGGATGGGCACAGTGAGGTTGCAGGCGGTAAACCAAAGTGCTTATGAGGGGCCCAGGATCCCGCCTGCTCCCCTCCCCCTGCGAGGGCGGGGGTGTTCACGGAAGCGCTTCAATTTGGGGGTAGGGGGCCGGAGTCCCAGAGTCCGCTTATTGCCAAGAAAATCCACTTCTGCCCCCCGGACCCCGACCATGGCTTGTGAACCCCGTTTTGTGCTAGGTTTGGGGGGGAAGGGCTGGATGGACATGGCTTTTGGGAGGGGGGTGTCTCCAAGGGGGCGCGGGGGTGAGACGGCCCCCCCTTTTCTAGGGGAGAGGGAAGGGCAGGGGGCGGGGTTCCCTGAGATCTGGGGTGTTCCCCCCCTTCTGAAGCCCCCCTCCCCCGCTACCCCTCCCCTTTCCTGGAACCCCGTACCTCGGGGTGGGGGGGAAGGAGAGAGATCATTCAGGGAGTGCCGGGAGGAGGGGCGGCGGGCCTGGGAGCCCCGAGGCCGGGTCCCGGCTGGAGTTGGGAGGGCTGGATGGAAGGGGATTCAGGGTTCAGGTCAGTAGGGGGAGAAGAGGATGGGTCCATGCGCAGTTCGGATGGGCCCGGGGGCCGGGTGGAGCAGGGGGTGGGTGATCGGCGGTCCCTGGAGAAGAGGTGCGGCTGGGGCCGGGCGCAGGGATAACGGGGAGCCCGCCGCCGCCGCCATCACCGCGGCCACCGCCAGGGGGCTGGGGAGCAGGCCGCCGGCCAGGGACTTGGGCAACTCCTTGGAGAAAGTCAGCGTGCCCTGCGGGGAGGGAGGGGAGAGCGAGCCGTCAGTCCCGTCCCTGGACGCCCCCTCCCCAGCCCGGCCCTTCGAACCCCCCAGCAGCCCGGCTCACCGCGAGCTCCGCGGCGCCCCGCGGCTTCTTGTGGCGGCTCAGCAGCGGATTGGGCTTCCCGGCCACGCCGTCTCGGTGCCGCCGGCTGGAAATGTGCTGCGAGCGAGCGGG